TTTTTTTTTTTTTTTTACAAAGCAAAGGAATAGGCAAAAGTACCCGAGTCCGTTTTCCGCGAATAATAGTAGAGTTAATATTGACCCGTAATCCTTGTAATGCACTCGATTCTTTGATCTTTTGCGCATGTCAGAGAACCATCATAGATGTATTGGACCATGGAAAAGCTCTCAAAATGCAAAATTGGGACGGCCCCGGGCGAGCGCGCATGCAGTTCAAAAGCTCTCTCGAGGTTCTCACGTGTTACAAGAATGTTACATGTGCGTCGAAACTGTCCTTGTTCGCGCAATCCGGTCGGATCCTTTTGCACACGTGTGCTCGCGAATATGTAGAAACTAGAGATTCAATTAAAAGTTAAATCAATCGAAAACTAAAAAATTATTATTACGCGAAATAAAATATTTTGTCGGAAATGAGTAAAAAACAACGTAGCAAAAAGCGAACGAAAATAAAACACACACAAACGTTATGTTGTCGCGCAATTGAAACCATTTTGTCTTCTCTCATTTCAGTTACCGACGACAAATTGAATTCTCGATCAACGAGTCAAAGAGGAAATCAAAATGTGCCACTGTGGAAAACCAGCGGGGTAAATAGCGTTATATATTCCGATCTTTCTTCAACGTACAAATAATAATTCCCTCAAAGTTTTTATTATTTCGCACATGCACACAGAACACACAGTGAAAGCAACGAAACTTTTTCGCGATGAGACACAAGCAGATATTTAACTTACCTTTATATTTAACTTACACCAGATGATTTGACTTATCTTATATTTAACTTATCTCGCTGTCGAAATAAATTGTATAACGATTCCTATAACTATTCTTTGAGAAATCTCGATTTCTCGTTGAAATTCTGAAGAATATTTAATCGATTTACGCGTTTAAGGAATGTCACATCTTTTTCACAATTTTCTCGAAAGATTCTCTTAGGAAGAAGTGTCTCGAAATTGCGAGACACATTGCAAATATTTCGCATCTCGAATGCGAGAGACAATCGTCCACATCTTGAGACGTTTGACAAAAAAAAAAAAAAAAAAAAAAGAGTATCGACGGTATCATCATTTATCAAATGTGAAAAAAAACCTTTATCCCGTCGGTGCTTTCTTTCGGCTAAAGCTCTCGCGACACGAAGATGAAAAAGCACTTTAGCATTTGCGAGCAATATAATGGTGCTGCTCGCCCTCTCTCGCGATACCCCGATACGGAAGCGACAATACAAACTGGACTGACAAAGACAAATTGCGAAACGATTCAGCCAGCGCCGTAAACAAAACTGCATCGACCATTAAACGCGTACATCGATTAACACATCAAAGATTCTCTTTCTCGCGAATTCTGAGATCTTCTCTCGCGGAAACTTTTCTCGAAGAACTATAAAAAAAAAAAAACAAACAAAACTTTTAAAAACTCACTCATTTAATACGACATGATTAATGTAATTGTATGATTAGATACAGTTGTTTTGTGTGTTTTTTTAACAATATTACATTTTTTAATTCAATCGTAAGAGTGTCTGTATATTTATTATACGAAGTAAATATTAATTTTCCGATAGTTTTTTTTTTTTTTTTTTATTTTATTTTAACATGACGTGTGTGATTGATACGACGTTCCGACTGTTCATCCGATTGTTTTATTTAATAGTCGTCTGGTGACTGGTATTCGTTGAGCGCTTAACTTGTTCAACTGACAATTACTTACGCTAACATTCCAATTTGAATCAACGTGCAACGTGGCGCAGCTGCGTTTCATTTGTGCCAGATGCGACTAGATGAATTTACTTGGTCAGCAATGTCATTTCTCGCCGTTCGTACCAGTTTAACACAACTCAATCCGGGAAGCGCGCGCGCGCGCGTACACACACACGTACATGTATATACACGCAAATAAGTTTTAATCCCGAGAGACGTGCCCGAAAGCGGAATTGATCTCCGGAAACGTTGGAAAAACAAGCGTACGTTTTGGTAGACTAGATTTTTTTGTAACACAAATAATTTCAATCTACGTACTTATCGCAGCTTTGACAATTTTGTCAAAGTTACAAATTTGCAACACCGATTAAACGTTTTTGTTTTTTTTTTTGTTTTTTTTTCACGTACACACATTCTACAAATACGTTCGCGAAAAAAACACAATTTTCTTTATGTGTTTGTTTTCGTACCGCATCAAATTATTTAGCACGTCGCGTTTGTCTGTGCGCGCGTTTGCTAATCAGAAAGGGTGTGTGTGTGGTTTTGTTTTTTTCACCGACAGAATTATCGAAGTCGAAACAGCGGTTTGTTCAACGTTCCCAAGGACACGAGCACCGCCGAATCGCAGGGAGACTGTAGCACAACGGTCGCTTCCGGTCGCAGTTCCGCCGCGGGATTCAAAACCAGCAAGCAACGTTGGAGCGGATTTTTCACCAACACCAAGGACGTCAAGATGGATCTCTTGACGGCCCAATTGGACGAGTACAACAAGTACGGCGTGCCGAAACCCCCGAACGTTTACGTGTACCACGACATGACGCTCGACGAAGAAGGTTCGACGTTTTTCTTATTCGTTAGCGATTTTACACAACGTTCGAAATCTTTGAAGATTTTCAACGTATTTTTTTTTTTTTTTATTGCTGCTTGCTCGTTCATTCGGCGATTATTGCGATACTTGTTTCCAGTTCTTTACAGTTTGGAGCGGGACTGGCGCGATATCGTTAAGGATTCCGATCTGCTCTCGAAGAAACAGACGAAACAACAGACCGCTCTCTGGGAATTGGCCGAGACCGAAGTGACTTACATAAAAACGTTAAAGGTCGTGACCGACGTAAGTAAAATAAAATACGAATGTCTTTGCGAAACCGAACTCGTCGTCGTTTCTCACGATTCAAAAAATCGATCGAATCGACGACACATTGCGATAAGCCACGAGTGTCGCGTGAAAATTTAAATGAGAATTTACACGAAGACGATCGTTGAGATTAGAATTTTCAATCTTCATAAATATGCGCGCGAGACGTGACCGTCGTTTGTGAATATATCGCAGCTCTTCATGGCGTGTCTCTGCAATCTGCAAACTTCGAATATCCTGAACGAGGTTGACAGATCGAAGCTCTTCAGCAACATACTCGATATCTACGCCGCTAATCGCTACTTCTGGACCGAGTATCTGCTTATGATGGTGAACGTGTCGAGATCGAACGGGCGGCCGCTCGATCCGAGTCATCTCCTTCTGGGGTTCGAGACCTTCGAGCAGACATTCGCACCTTACGTAAGATACTGCGCCGAGCAGAGCAAGTGTCAGCAGTATTGCAAGGACCGATTGAACGATAACCAACTTTTCACGGCGTATCTGGTGGTACGTACAGTTTAAAAAACAAAAAAAACAAAAAACTTGTATTTATTGAGTAAGAGTAGAACAAAATCCCGTTCAAATTGTCCTGTTACAGTGGTGCGAAACGCAAAAAGACTGCAACCGACTGAAACTCATGGACATACTGGTGATGCCGATGCAAAGACTGACTAGGTACACGCTTTTGCTCCAAGCTGTTTATAAGAATACTGAGAATGAGGGGCAACGCGCGGAATTAATCCACATGGTATTGAAACTGAACTTTTTATACTTGCTCGAACTCGCGACAAAAGCGAAAAAAAAAAAACACACACTTTCGCGAATTATTTTGAAACTCGCATATTTCTTCACGATTCGAATTCATTCATTTTTTTACAATTCAAATATTTCTGTGTATATAAATATATACATTGCTTAAATTTTTTATCGTATTTGATAAAGAACACGAAAGCGATTAAAAAATTGAAGGAATTGTATATATATAATTTACGCAGATCAAATCCGTGGACGATTTCGTGGCGTTTGTAAACGCGGCCTTGAGGAGAAACGAGGAGGCCGATAAATTGTACAGTGTGGCTTCCCGTTTGGAAAGTTACGACGTCGTCGAGACCAAAGGCGACGAGGAATTGGAAAAACTGATAAAACCGTATCGAAATTTTGACATAACCACGGCGCCGATGCCCAGATGTCCTAAGGACACTCAGAGAACGCTCCTTCGGGAGGGAGATTTGAAGTTGAAAGACGCCACTACCAACAAGGTTAGTTTATACGCGAGCTCGCGACTCATTCTCGCCGAACAAACTCTTAACTGTTCCTCTGAATTCTGTGTTCAAATTTGACTTTCAGATGGAAGTGCATGTATTATTACTGACAGACATGCTGTTGATCTGCAAACCGTCGACAAAAAAAATGTTGAAGATCATTAGGGAACCGTACGTTCTCGATCGTATACGAATATACGAACTCAAGAAACAGCCCAACAATTTGGGATTGACGTATCTTCACGAATACGGAACACTGTCGGCTGTTTTCATTCTTAGTGCTAGTGATTCGAAATTAGCAAAGGTGACTCGACAAAATACGCGCGGAAAAAAAAAACAAAAAGCAATAGAATTAAGTTAAAACTGCGGTTTAAAAATCGACATAAAATGTAGAGTTTTTAATATTTAATACGTAACAAGTGAAGTCTTGAGCCACCACCAACTATGCAACTTTTCCAGTCATGGGTGGAATCTTTGAAGCAAGCCCAGCAACAATTCGCTCTGATAAAAGTGCCGTCGCTCGGCGAGTCTCTGATAAATCTCACACCCGTCAGCGGTCAGCCAAGTATAGCGGACAATGGTGATTTCGAAACGGAGGAGTACGAAGGTATGTTGTCGAGAACACCGCGCGGCAGTAGCAGAGCGTCGCACACCAGCAGCCTCGCACACAGTCATAGGTAAAAAAATTTGTATCTCGATGATTCGAAAATTACATTGAAGTTTCTTGCTTATATATTTGTGTGATTGTGTTTATGATGCGAGAAATGTATATTATATTAATTTTCAGCGGTAGTATGGAGATGGAATGCGTATCTCCGGGCAGCAGCAGTTTTCTACCGAGCAGAAACGTCAGCGTGGAGACAAACGAGCCACCGCGAGCGTCGAGCTCGTTATCGTCGGAGGAAGGTGGCGAATCCACCTCCTGTTACAAACCAAAATCCGCGCACACCAAGTGAGCGTTTCTCCCCTCCTATCAAGTTTTTAATTTCACATCGATGATTAACGATGTCTCTTCAAAGCTAATTAATCAAATTCACAACACAGGCGCTCATTGTTGAGCAAATCACCGACACCGAACACGCTGAGCGTTCGAGTACCACATTCGAATCTGGGTCGATCGTTACCCAACTTAACACTGACCACTTCGCCACAAACTTCTACCGTGTCGTCGGCGCCGCCGAACTCGCTGCTGTTAGTGCCGCAGATGACGAAGAACAAGGACACCCTCCTCTCACCAGGACAACGAGGTAGCGATTATCGACGCCGATCTCTGTGCTTACGTTTGTCACACTCGTCCGAGGCCGAGTTTCAATGACGCTCGTCAACGATATCTACGTATCCGAGTGCACACCAATTAGATCAGTAGTTAATGCGAGTATCAAGAACATAAGGCACTTCGCAAATCAATTTCAACGGCATTACGTTTGATGCCGTTTGCTTCTTAGAAGTAGTGTCTTAGAATTGTTATCAATGCAGAGAGGCGAGACAACGTAATAGAAATATATCGAAGATATTGTAGTGTAGCTTTAATGTAAATTTTATTCAAAGAAAGTATTAGCGTGTTATTACTTAATAATACAAAAAGTTCTCCAACAAACATTATCAACGGACAACTCTATATTTCAAATAAAATAACGCACTGTTAAAAAGTTGTATCTTTATTTTCTCGAGTAAAGACATGAAATAAAAAAATAAAAAAATAAAAAATAAAAATAAAAAAAAAAACAAAAATTCTTCGTTCTGACACTTGAAAAAACTAATCGTTATTTATTCGTATCGATGATGTGTCACCAGGCATATCGTATCCACCGCCGTCGCCACCGCGAGGCGCACTCAGACGGGCATTTGCATTACCGCAATCCCGAAATCCGCCTTTGATCAAGATGCGACACGTGAACACATCTTTAACGCAAACCGTACAGGTAACCATGAGCAACTCCGATACTACCGAAGTTGTCGAGGGAAGACTGAGAAGGGTAGATTCTTTGCAAAGAGTGCCGTCGACAAGCAGTATCGTCGAAGAAAAGGTACGACATTAGCGATTAATGATGATGTCAGTGACATTTGTATGTGTACAAAAACATTTTATAATATACACACGATAAAAATAATTTCATCGAACAAGAGAACCTCGCAATTCTACTTGTAAATAAACTATTATTATTTGTAGAAATAACATGAAAATATTGGCCTAACATGAAAATATTGGTTTGGTGTGAAAAAAAGACGTTTTAGCACACGGATGCACGACGAACACGTTAAATGGATGTACCTGATGTGCGTGTACACGGATAATGCTCAACGGATGTAATTTGTATGTGTATTGATCCAGAGACTCGTCTCGTAATGATCTCTGAGACATTCCACGAAACGAGTAAAGCAATTTTTACAACTGGTAAGACGACGAAATATACGTACGCGATGAATGAATTTTGCGAACGAAAGAATCCATAGCGGAATCATATATTTTTGTGTGTTTCCATACATATATATATATATATAGATATATATGTATATGTATATATTTGTTTTCAGATTGGGGCCATTCAACACCAACGAAGTTTGTATCGCAAATGATTTTATCACTATACGTACTCTTTAATTGTTTCTCTCTTCAGTTTTTTAATTCATATTTTCTAAATAGAAAAACCGTAACGCGTCGTAAACTAGTCAATCACGGCCTATAAAACACTTGCATGGGAGAGGACTTGTATAATCACACGTTCGTGGCGTTCTCTCTCCGCTCGGTGACATCTCTCAGTAGTGAAATAAAATTTGTTATGTATGCGTGAAAAGTACGTATGAGCTTTCGATTAATGTTAGTTATCGGCGTGTGTCCACACAGGGGGCACACTTGAAAAATTGATGGGTGCGCAAAAGTATGTAAGTAAAACAGATAATTTATAGTTATATATAATTAATACTGCATATATATTTATATTTTTTAAAATGAGAGCACACACACATTGGTCGCAAAGGAAACAGAGAGTATATTGGTGAGGAGAGAGCGTATTGCGCCTATGTGAATCTTCTTATGTCATTTTGAGAAACAAATTTGTCTCACATGTACTTCCGAGAAAAGAAATATTTAAATAATTAAATGTGTAGTAGCGTTCGAGAATGATTGTGTAAAGATCGTGAATGTGCGTCATAAGCACTTTTATTAAAATATAGAGAGATCCTTAACTCTGCTTTTCGACAATTTAATAAAAATCAAAAAAAAAAAAAAAAAACCTGCAATTTATATACATGTGTCATCAAACAGTGATCAATTGATAATAAATCATATCAGTGTGCAACGAACACAGCACTCGCTTGTAATTAAATTAGTTATCAGGCATATCTCACATTAAACACAAAGCTTTCAAGAAACTTTGTTTGTAAACGTTCCCACACAAGGATCTTGAAATAAAATCAAAATTGTTAGTACTTCTTTTAGTTTCTCACGAATTAAACATTTTTTTTTTTTTCAAATAACAATTTCGTATCCCACATTTTTTAATTTTCTAAGAAAAACCTCACTTTGCTATACATGGCAGTAGAATACTTCAGCGTGTGTTAAATTATCTAAATTTTTGTATCTATTTTTTTGTTTTTGATAAAAAAATCTTAAAATAGATGACTCCTCAAACCAGAGAGTATGATGTGAGGTCCAAAAAACGTAAAAAAAATTTAATTGATAATTTACAATTGGGTTTTCTAGGATCAAATAACAATACGCGGGGAGAAAAGGAGAAGAGAGAGGGACATGTTGACATATATCCTATGGGGGAACTACCTATAGTACAAAAGTGTGGTAGTCATGTTCTTTAGCAATGATATGTTATTCGATCTAGAGAAGTGCGTATTATATTTAATTGTTCCAAATCTCTCGCGCGTATATTATTATTATTAAATTGTGAAAATTATATGCATACATATCAGTGTTCACTTAATAAAGACTACATTTTCATAATTACGTTTGTATTTCCGAGTGTCACGTTATTCCACGAGTTGTATTGTTATTTATATATATAAGCAAATTTCGATATTAATACTGCATTAATATTTGACATGTGATTGCATAAATCAATATGTATGTATATTCTATATACAAATATTATTATTAACAAAAGCGCTAAGAGCGATAAAAACAAGAAAATATCCATTTACTCACATTTTGTACACGTATCGTATTTACCTTATACGAAATATAAACAATACACTTTTTTTTTACCTTCGTTTCACGAAATAAAATTCGTCGTCGCAGACCTCTATATATCGGCAATGTCCTATAGTTGTTGTAAAAAAAAAAAAAAGCAGTGTTCTCGGAAGAGATTAGACAGAGAAATCTATTTTTTTCGTACTTCTTCTCTATATGTCCCGAAACTTGAAATCAACAGAGTCTCCTGTGACGCAACTTGTTTCCTCGATGCAGAATTTCGGTGATAAATCGGATACTATTTTTCTCTTGTGCGTGTCTTGTAAAGCCTGTTCTACATCAAGCGCAAGACGCAAACGCAAGTAGATCACGAACGGAATTGACTAATCGCATTGATCAAATCAACCAGCGTGATTGGTCAATTTCACGAGACCTGCTACTTGCGATTGCATCTTGCGCTTAATGTAGAATGAGCTTAATGGTTTATTGGGAGAACCAATCAGAACGAAATCTTAAATCACGCGATACTCCAAGGCTGCGTCCTGTTTGGCTCTTGCCAGTGGAATCAATACAAAAGCACGCTAGCGGCATTGCCGCGTCAGCGCGTTCTATGGACGGAAGCTAAGGTCTAAGGTGCGTAACAAAGCGGATAAGATGCCATTTTATTTCGTCGTGACAATTCTTTCTGTATGATTGGACATCAAATAAAGAATTTTTAAAACTATGTTGAAATTCACGAATCCCATTGATTAACCAAACCAGAAAAAAAAAAGACTGAGAGCGGCCATAAGAGAATGTGTATTGCTTTTTCTCCCTGAAAACCAGCGCAATGTCCATGGTGAGTAATGCACATTGGCAGCTACAGGACCTTCGACGAAAGGTCAATGACCTCCGATGAGAGGTCAATGAACTTTGACGAGAGGTCAATGAACTTTGAACTTTGACGAGAGGTCAATGAACTTTGACGAGAGGTCAATGACCTCCGACGAAAGGTCAATGAACTTTGACGAGAGGTCAATGAACTTTGACGAGAGGTCAATGACCTTCGACGAAAGATCGATTACCTTTGACAAAAGATGATGGATGCATTATATACAGCCTATATTTATATACATTTATGTTATATATTACTTTTTCGCATTGCGCATTACACATTTAACCGTTGTTTTTAATTCCTATTCTTAATATTGTCTCTATTGTGCTCAGGCTCTTACGGGCCTGGTCGGGCTCCAGTCTTCTCTCTGGCCAAACCGATCAATGGCCAATGAGTTTTGCTTTTTTTTGGTTTTATTTGCTGTTTGATGTTTCGCACGAGCGAGCTCGCGCGCGAAATGTCAGCTCTTTTTAATTTAACTTTTAATTGCTTCTAGTAAGTAATTAAAATTGATTTCCTGTCAATCGAGATTGGCCGGTTCAACGCCGGCTTGGTGAATTTCAAAAGTGCAATCGGACGACAGAATAAAACCAGTTCTCAGAATCAATTTTGATCAATTCCAATTATTAGAATTGGCTTGTGAGTTATGTTCTTCTTAACATCATCATTACTCGTAGAGTTCAATGTCGTCGGTTGATATTCGGATATACATATATCGAGGTCGAAGTAACCTTGAGCGCTTTGGACGCTCACGCGTTTTGAGAGAGCGCGTCTCGGTCTATATCTTTGTTCGATATTTAAAGAACAATGAAGACTGACGGACGCTCAAACGCCAAAGCGAACGCGTTCCTTATAGCAAGCAAATTAAATAATCAGTCAATTTTTTTAAGCGCGAATTATTGTTTTGTTAATTATTGTGTCGTTATTCATCACACAATCGATTCTCTTCTCTCATTGAACTCAGTCTATTATGATTTTACGTAGAGAGGCAGAATCTACATATGTTATGTAGAAACGTCAGTCGGATCGAACGTCAATCATTTTTCTGTATAAACACACGGAACAAAAAAAAAGCTTAAAACAAAAAAAAAAAACAACTTCACATGAGACACGTTTACAGGAAAGTAGGAGAGAAGGGCCGAGTTGTCTATACGTTCCTGGCCGAGTTTACCCGAAGAGATGAGAGTCGTGTAAAATCGCCAGCGGTAAGCGTTTGTCGTGCGTTGCCGACACATGCTGCCAGTTTGAGTCTATCACAGAGCGGGTGTGCATATTGCGGTGACATGGCTACCAGCATTTCGGAGGAGCTCGAGGTATTGCTGTGTGATTATTAATGATTTTGTCTTGATTTTCGGCGCGGAAAGATGCTGGGAAAATCAATGCCGATTACGGCGACGAAAACGGTCTCGGGTTCCGTGTGTAACAGCGTGGATCCTTTCTCGGTAACCTCCTCCTCCCGCATCCTCTCTCCTCCCTCTACGTTTTCTTCTCCCTCCTTTCGCGTTGCGGATGTGATCCGCCGTGTGAGAAAGTGATCTTAGATCGCCGCTTTTACGGTTCGCCGCAGAAAGATATTTCATTTTTTTTTTTACGCTCGTAGAAGTGCCTCTCGGCCGCCGTTCGTTGATCCAATAAATAATTTGCGTTGCCAAAAGTACACGCAAATATTGCAATAGATAAGAGATTTGCGAAGAAATGTTCACGGTAATATCACTGTATAGGTTACCGCGGGCAAGGCGGTAAGGTCGCTTTGTAATTCGCCAGCCGGTGTGATCGTATTCGCGAAGTTCAGACCAGAGAATTCAATACACATGATACAGAAGAGCAATGAGAATTTTCCTTTTTTTTTTTTTTTTTAGGAAATTGATCGAAAACAAAATACTGAGGTAGCCACTACCGGTGAATTCTCGCCTGAATACTTAATCAAGCATCCGTTGCAAAATACCTGGACCTTATGGTATTACGAACCAGACAGGAATAAAACATGGGAGGAGAGCCAGCGTGAGATCACGAGTTTTGATACGGCGGAAGACTTCTGGAGGTAATGCCTATGCCGATCCTTTTTTTTTTTTTCTTTTATTTTGAGATACATGTAATAAGTTTATGCCGATATGAAAGTGACACGAACTGAGTGATATAAAAAAAAACCTTTTGCTTGTGTGCGCAGCTTGTACAATCATATTAAAACTGCCTCCGAGTTGAGGCAAGGATGTGACTATAGCATGTTTAAGCAAGGAATTCGACCTATGTGGGAAGACAATCAAAATAAATCCGGAGGAAGATGGTTAATAAATTTAGAAAAGAAGCAAAGAGCCACGGATTTAGATAATTTTTGGTTAGAAATTTTGCTTTGTATGATTGGAGAAGCATTTGATGAATATTCTGATGACGTTTGCGGGGCTGTGGTAAATGTCAGGCCAAAAGGTGACAAACTTGGTGTTTGGACATCGAATGCAGAATCTGCGGATAGTGTTATGGAAATAGGGTAAGAAATTGAGATTTGCTGTTATTTGTATACAGCATACTTTTTTAATTGTTTCTTAGTATAAATAAGCAACTTTAATTTCAGTCGCAAATTGAAAGAAAGATTAAAAATTACATCTAAAACAACTATGGGATATCAAGTACATAAGGACACTATGGTTAAAACTGGAAGTCAAACAAAAAATACTTATACATTATAAACACCGCTAAATTATTATTGATATCATATTTACATTGTTCTCATTAAGATATTAATAAGAAAACTTTTCATTTGAGATATTAACATAATTAAAGTATTAATATAATTGGCATTAATTTTTTGCTGAATTTATATTGAAAAAAATTAAATCTTGTTGTTTTGAAAGCATGTTGCGTCGTCATATTTCTGTAGTAACGACAAAAATCAAGTAAAACTCAATAAATATATGTTGAAATAGATTGATATTAGCATAAAACTTTGATAAAATTTTAGTGTAAGATCTATTATATATATACACTAGTGATCAGAGATGCACATGGGCTGCTGTATTTTTTTGTGGCTGACACGAAGTGTTTACATAATGGACTTGTATATTTGGTTGTAATTTGTATAAGAACTTTACATTTTTCAACAAATAAATTCTTATAGTTTTTTAAGTTCTTATAAAAAGTATAAGTTCTTATAAAATACCTATTAACCCTTATCCAAAGGGTATTAGGTCTATTTGAATTTATCTCTATTAAATATTAATCTTCAATACTTGCTTTTGTTTTTTCTTGTAGTAAGCACTTAATTTGATAATTTATCAAGATGAATAAAGTCTCAGTCAGATAATAAAATTAAGCAATGATTGCTTTTAATTCGTATTGAAATTTGTAAGATATAGTTACTTAACATATTTAAGGTGTGTAATTTATATATGTGTAAATTATATAAATTTATCATATATATACATATATATAGTATTTATATTAAAATACAGCACCCAATTCTATTTTTTGCAGTAATATGCTAATTATATTAACAAAACTATTCAGCAAATAATTAGAGACTTATATATTAGTCTTTATTTATATATCACCTATAATTTTTAGGTAAATTGTCCATGTTTATGTGTTTGTTACATTATTAAATTCTTACATACAATTATATTACTGATCAATAGCATAAAGTATAAAGCATATTTAGAAAAAATAAAGTGAGGTTTATTGCAAAAATATGTATAAATTATATATATATATAATATCACGTACTCTTATTTTTTGATATTAATTCTTCTACAAGTTCTTTTAGATCCCTACGTCTTCCTTTTTCTAAAGCCCGTGTTAAATTTAGTTCCCAATGCTCTGTGTCAGATTGTGACATATACATGTTTAATATCTATAAACGGTAATCACAATTTAGTCTGTTGTTTAGATAAGTAATATATATACATACATATATCTTAGTTGCATGAATTTTACCTCATAACTTTGTTCCCTCAAATCATAAGGATGTTTACTTTGCACAGCATCAATTTCACATTCTTTAATTCCTAAATATCTAGCAACATCTCTCCAAGATCGACCCAGTCTGTCTTTGATTTGTAGCAACACTGTAAAAAAAAAAACATACATTTTTCTAAACTGAGAACATGTATACAGAAGAAAAAATAATTATGTTGTATAATCTAAGGTGAATATACCTATTTGTTGTAACATTGTTTTTCTCTGATTAAAAGAGTTTTGTGTTGGCAATTGATGCAAATTATTCAGAGAATTATATGTTGATGCCACATCTCTTCCTGTACTACTTTGTTGCTTTCGTAATATTGGAACTGTGTAAAATGCAAATAACATATTATATAAAATATCAATATTGTTCACAGCATAAGCTAATAAAAAAATAATATTAATAAGAATCTCAGATCTTGTGCTGTTATTTGTAACTGTTATTTTAAATTTTGCGAACAACTTGTATAAAAGTTTCTGACAAGCCAAAACTATTTTTTTAAGTTTTTATTTTTACTACATATTCTTCATCAAGTTTTCAATTAAATATCAGAAAATTCTCACCTTCATCGTTTTCATACATATTGCACAAAGGTGTATTCTTCTCCAGCCAATTCTCATACTCGAGCAATTTGTTTTTCAAGTTTGATTCTCCAACAAATGTCTTTGATATATTTTGCAATTCTTTTATGTTATCATAACTAATAATGTCTCGTTTTTCTAGCAATCTTATAAGCGTCTTGAGGTCCTTTACTTCACTCAATTTGCGTTTGGAATCAATTTCATTTACATAACAGCATTTCAGTTTCTCCAAACCATCACTGTTGACATAAGGTTCACCTATGCTGAGGAAGTCTCGACGAAGTAACTCGTATCTCTCGAGCATCATGTTCTCGATAAGTTCTCGTGCGCAATACTAAAACCAAGTGTTTGCGGGAATACCCGGTGAGATAAGCCTATGTATACGTACACACAAGAAGTCGTAACCCTAAAAGAAGACATTCGATGAAACTTTTACAAAGACTTATGCGTTCGGTATTGCAAATCGAAGATGTCGGAGTGTTTACCTCAAAAATTTCTAAACTCAATGCGATTGGTCAGTTGCGCTGTATTTGCGTTCAGATTTGCACTTCCAATCTCTCGGTTTTGCAATGCCGAACGCGAATAATATTTTCTGGGGAAGTTTAAAACTCGTATCACTATGGATTGGGATCTCAGATTGAATTTGAATTTAACCAATCGGAGTGAAATAAAAGCTAATCTCTCGAGTTTAGTGAATTCTGCTTGATGAGCTGCTAAAAACTTTGATCAAATTCCAATCCCAAATCTGTAATCCGATACGGCCATAAAGATCCATTGTCGAGATCGACAGCTTGCGTTATTATTTCTCCGTAATATATCTTTTCTCTTCTGCCGTGCTTTGCGCATGTGTGACTGTCAACAAGCGTATGTGACGGAGTATACGATACGTAAGATAAACTTTTGTACAGCGAGAACAATTTTGAACAATTTTGAACAATTTTGAACTCATACCACAAAATGAGATAACATGTAACAAAAGAATCTTCTTTTATTAATGTTTACCGTAAATGGGTATAGAAAGCGATAAGAGATTATAGAAAGACTTTGAGTTCGTGTTACCTTACGTAAGTTTGATTAACTCTGATTATTCGATTTTATATTTGTAAATTCATAAAAAAAAAATAAAATAAAATAAAATAAAAAAAAGATAAATCTGCCCCGGGTGAGGATCGAACTCACGACCTTAAGATTATGAGACTTACGCGCTGCCTACTGCGCTACCGAGGCAGCGAGACCTGAATTCTTTAATTTGTTATTTCCACGTAGAATAACATACAATTAAACGAAAAGGCAAAAAATTAAGATTTTATAATATTAACAGGAGTGGGAGTATTTTTGATGTTTTTAGCTTTTTGTTTTTTTTTTATTTGTTTGTTTCAGCACAAGATAGGCTGCATTCCGATGTTCGTTGTACTGGGAAATCTATAGCACATGTGAAATATAGATTTTTAGTACCGGCAGTGAATATCATCGGAACGCCACAAAATGAGAGACGTCAGATCAGGTTGGGTGGACTAAACACAACAATCCATTTGGAAAGAGTGCAGTTACAGTAATCGCGTGACGATCGTGACATGTGATAGATTTGGTTGTTCAAAAGATCTCATTTTGTTTACGATGCTCTGTCCGGAAACATGGAATTTCAAACCAGCGCAACATTGTTTTTCTATAGATAGAAGAGACATTGAAAAAGATGTGATTCCGGAAGTGATTAAAACGCATTACTTCAATCATTCGGCAAGTTTTGATGAACTTTGTTTTTGTTAACAATTACATTTTTGTACATATCTACGGCTGTGTTATATCTCGGGCCCGAAGAGCGCGCTATTCCGTCACTTTGTTATCGCTTTAGATAAAAAAAAAAAACAAATAGAATAATGCGATAGCTCGATGCATTCCTTGAATGCAGCTTATTATATACTTCGTTCAATTTGAGAAGAGAATTTTACTGCGCATAGAGGAAGAAAAGTGAGCAAAGTGGGCATAGTGTTGCGTGCGGGATTGGCGAAAAACTTGCTTACGGCCAATGGCTATGAAGTGGCGAGACTTTTGTTGTTAGATAAGGTGCGCGAAACGAATGAGTTTTCGTTCATCCAGTTTTTCTTCTCAAATTGAACTCAGTATAGAACAACACCCGTAAAAACTTAATTAAATGTTTCATTAGATGTTGCATAGAACTATGAACATCTGAGATTTTTATTCTGAATATACATATATATATATATACATATTTCACAATTTATATGTAACTCTTTATTTAAAAAAAAAAATGTTTAACTTTTTACAAAATTATTCTTACATATCAGATATCTGTGGTGCTTCCCGACACAGTCATTGTTCCGGATAGTTTACGAAATTGTTTGTCAGAAGATACGGAGTATTATCGAATAAATGCGCTTCGCGTTTGTGATCTTTTAAAAAGAGAATTTATTGAAGCTTTCGTTAAAAATGGTAATGTATATATACGTAGTTATTTTTATTTAGTTAATATTACAAAATACAATTTTGTGACTATACATCATATAGAAAAAAAAAAGAATCAAGTTGATGTTTTTTTTTAAATTAAAAGCATTCTGTTTCATTAATAGATATATAGATTGAATTCTTTTTTTACACTATTATTAACACACTTATATTTGTAGGGGAGGTCAGTATCCTAACAATAGACAATAAAATAGATTTGCAAAATTCGATCTGTGTAACTCCAAGTGGACATTTGGTACTTTCTTTATTAACTGAAGATTATCAAGCTCTTGGGTTAGAAGGAAAACCTTCTTGTTTTGATTATAAGCCTCATACACGTTACAGTGAGTTAAATAGAGAACTGATTTTATAATTATCTAGAAAACATAGTTTATAAAGTTTATATAGAATTGGATACTATATAAGTGTTTAATTTAATACATATATATGTATATATTAAATTAAACACTTATAAAACATTAAATTTGAACATTTGTACAAATAATACGCATTATTAAAAGTAGTGAGAATTGACTTGACAAACGAAACTTTCGTTCCTGGTAAGAAAAATTACGAAAGAGTTCGAGTTGCATTAGAAGAGAGACTCAAACAGAACTTTGATGTTATACTATCATGGGATCCACCAGGTATGTGTATATATATATATATGTTTTTTTTTCCTTTTGTCTTTTTTTTTCTTTATATAATACATGCCACATTAATATGTAATATTTATTTTTCTCAATTATTTAAATATTTCAGATACCAAAATATGTCCATCATCTATAGCAGCATGGTTTTACACACACAATTACAGTGTTTGTCTTTGTCATCAAAAGTTTTCACAAAAAATTGAATATTCATTAACAATACCAGTTCTTCAAGAAGAATCTAATATTGATAGATTCTTTGAATGGCTTGGAGTCTTTAGTGTCGGTGATATTCAGTATGTTTATGCTATTAAAAAAAAAATCACAATCTCTTTATCTTTGATTATTGATATTGGATACTATATATACCGTCGTTTTAGATTTAATGAAGAAACTGATGATTATGTGACCACATATAAATGCCCTTCTCCTTCTATGTACATTGGACAGATGCAGCATTTAAAATATACCGGTTTCTTTACACGTAAAAAGGTGGAGGAAATATATTATGCGTTAAAAGAATATGCACTGTCGCGAAATGCTTTGCCGTGGGTCAGTTTAGACGTACAGGGATTTGCAGACAGTCCTGTAAGTTGGAATTTGAAAGAACACACATTCTTCACAGATGGAGACAACAGTTACACCGTCGTATTTCGACCTAGAGAATGTATCATACGCAAAAGTTTAAGTTCCAACAACAGACCAAAACCGTGACAGATTTTTCTTTTTGTTAAATTCGATTCGTATAGAATAAGGAATCGGATTTAAGGAAGTCACCTGAAACGAATCATTAATTAACAGGCTATGAGATTTATATCATAAGTTATTTTATTTCGTAGAGGATTATTAGCTATAACAATAGCTATGTCATCATGCATATTTTTTTACTGATTTAATTATATAATAAAATATCATCTTATTATTAATGCGATAAATTTCTACTGTAAAAAGACAAGAGGTGCAACGAAAAACGACAGATGTGAAACATGTATGTCTAGTTATTTTCTAGAAAACGTGAAAAAAACGTGTATATTAAAGAAGCTTGTATATATATTTTATTGCAAAAACACTTGGTGTATGTAATAAAAAAAATATGTCAGTATTATTATACATATTGGTATTAGACGTATTAACGTCATTAATGATATTAATGGTCATATCATTTTTTATACCATTCAAATTAGGAGTAATATTGTTACTTGTACTAAAACTTTTTCTTTTTTTTCTTACATTGTTAAAGATAATTCATAACTATTCTTTGATATATTTCGAATTATTTCTTTATTATCAGATAGAAGAGTTTTTAGTTGACTTATTTTATGAATTATTAGATGAATTAGAAAGGATAGACTTAAATGATCTTAAAATGATTACTAGATTTATTTAATATTTTTATATCACCACTTGTCTTTTTTTTTTATTACTGATATTGACAATATAAATACTACAAGACTTCTATAATAAATACTAAATTTTATCACATATATTATGCTATTCTGACTGCCTGAAGCCTACCACATAATAAAAGAGATCAGATTAGATTCAATTAAATACTATTAATTAATCTTGCAACGCAATAGAACAATATAATCAGTATAAGGCTGACATTGTAAAAATAACTGACTTTGTATAAATAAATTAATATATATATATATATATATATATATATAAAAATAAAAGGCACTAAAGTACTCGACTATGAGATCAAAGCAGTCTATATCGTGTATAATTATAATAAAATCTTCGATTGTAAGCAGGCATAATCTTCGTAAATATAGTAGCAAACATCTTTTTTTTTTTTTTTATATCAAACATATATGATGTTCAAGTAATGTAAAATATCCTATATAGATGTATTTTGAAAAGGTCTTTGAAAAGTCACGTATCACTACGTTTAAAACATCTGAATTAAGATTCATATTAATACGTGAGAACTATCCGAATCACTGAATTTCATTCTAGAATTGTAATATAAATCCTCTATACCTGAACCAATCGACATACGAGACTTAGAACGCGCCATGAGTTCGCCTATTTCGTCGAGATCTCGATACCTGAAATATATGCGATCGATATTTTTTACACGACAATGACATCCTTACATAGAAAATTTGTGTGTTCAAAAGGATGACTATATATCTAACATTACACAAATATATCTGCACCGTCACATGCGTACCTGCTGACAGGTCGGCTTGGATTTTCAGACGATTCGGATGAATTTTTCATAATCGAAAATCCATCGTCTGTGTTAAATGATGCCGCGTTATCTGCGCAAGAATGAAAATGTTTCTTGTAAAAAAAACATGACAAACAATCGTGCAACTCCGTGACATAGAGAAAATGATGATATTACCAGATGGAAACAGCATAGTATGTTTCAGCAGATCGCCGCTGATAAATGGAGACAAACTGTCGTCGTCATCCGGTAACAAGTGAGTGGTCGAGTCTGCTCCGATAGATTCAACCATTTCCAACCACTGCTGATTGTGCGACCGAAATTTCTCTACTTTTATACGGGCAGCCCAGTTTTTATCGCACATCTAGAAAGTTTAATATAATCGGCATTTAATGTATTGCTTACATATTTATAAAAAAAAAAAAAAAAACACATTTGCTTAAGAGAATATCATCTCGACGGAAGTTTACTTACAGCAATGACATCTAAACATGTATCACAGACTTTTCTAATTGCAGGATTCTTATCGTGCATCAAATCGATCAGATATCCAGGAGCTTCTGCAAATGCGTATTACAATTTTATACATCATTTAAAAAGTTGTTGTTTAAAAGTATTACGCGAGTTTATTACGCGATGCATTTTCAACAAATTTTTTACTTGAGAAAATAGATTATTACCATTGCCGGTCTCTCGAATTAAATAATCACGGGTCGAATCATGTTTCGCGATTTGATAGAAAACGTAAATAATTTGCAGAACCATTTCGTCGTCCTCTTGCTTGGCTGTAATAATAACGCGACGAGAATTTATAGTGTTTTTTCCTTATAAGTTTTGTTATGTGTTTTATCATCTATATATGTACATTTAATTTTAATACGTACCTTTAAGAAGTTCGATAAGAGACAGAAGTATATCAGCCTTACATAACAAACGAGCACAATCTTCGTCATACGCTGCGGTGCCCAGAAAAATGATAACTTCAAGAACTAAATCATCTTGCGCCTTACCTGCAAATGTAAAGTTAACAAAATAGTAAACTTTAATAACATTTCTTTTTTGTATTTTTTTCAATATATTTAAAATATTTAATAAATGAAAATTTTACACCAAAGATATGTGAAGAAAGAATTTGAGATGGAAAAAGAAATAGAAAAAAAAAAAAGACACACCTGGAACTAGATTATTGCGTATCCATGGGATAAGATTGCAACGTTGAATGATTTGAGAATAATCCAAGTCAGGTAACTCCAAATTGCCCAACACACCAATCACTTCTAGCACAAAATCTTGAGAATCAGATTGGGTCAAGGCCATAGCAAAATCACCCACAAATTCCTGTTATTATAAATGCAACAAATTTGAGAAATCAAATTAAGACGATGAAAAACACACGGTACAACTTTGTATTCACGCTTCAACTCACGACAAAATTTTCTTTCGTCGATTCGTGTTGAGAAATATTTCTGATCATTTTCATTATGAGAGCGTCCTGATTTCTGAACGCGACTTTTATAAGATCTTGCAAACGATTATTTTCGACCATCAGTTGTGCATTCTTGTTGCTGATAGCTAAGTTTATACCGAGTGCTATCAACTCGGATCTTATGTATTCATCTTCAGAATTTAGTATCATGTTTGTTATCTGTTGAATGAAAAAAAAAAATATATATATATATATATACACGCGTGTGCATCACATTGATATATAAAATAGCTTCTAAAATTTATTTAAACATTTCACGGAGTTTTGTACATACCATTGGAATGCAATCTATATTTGCAAACATTCCTTTTACCTTATCATCCATGCTGGCGTGATAAAGTAATCCCAGTATTGTACTTTTGCTTTTAACATCAGCTGTAAACACACATAAATGACTCGTGACTTTATATATTTACAAAAAAATAAATTTAAATTTTTTATCAGTTTTATTAATTTGTTTACCCTTACCCTGGCTAAGTAATTTTATCCATTTCGGTAACATACCAACTCTAATCATTCTTGCTCTCAACTTGACATCGAAAGAAAGATTAAATAACAGTTTTAAAGTACTTAACACAAGATCGGCATTATTGTTTTGTAAAAGTCTCGGTAATTTGTCTATAATATTTTCTTCTGCCTGTATATAACAATAAATATATACACATTTTTATTCTCTTTCCTATAAATTTTTAAAAATAAGTAAATATTGATGTAATATTACCATAAGATCTTTGTTTTCACGAAAGATGGATAGTTTCTTCAAAAACGTGACAACCAATATCAACAGATCTGTATTCGTTCTGTCTAATGTTTTAATCAACATGCCTATGATATTCTTTTTGCGCATTTTTCTTTCAACTTCCATAGCATTCTCGGCGATGTTTAGAAGAAGATAAAACGCGACTCGCAACAATTGTTCCTGCTTTTTGGTTAAACTCTTAAATTTCTTGCGGCTTTTCTCGAGATCCTCTTTCAACTTCTTAATATCGCTCTCAGATACAGTTACAGATATTTCTGTGGATCGTCGTTTTACTTCGTAATCCAATGGACCGTCCATATTCCAGATATCGTCGATAATCCTTATTTTTCTATCGCAGTTGTCGTTATTGGTCGCTGGAAAAAATGTCAAACCGGTAGTGTTCTCGAACTGTTTTCGGCGTTTCTCCATATCTTCCTTCCACTGATCATAACGGCGCAATTCAAAGTCAATTATATCCATACAAAGAGAACCGATCTGTAAAAACAAAATTTATAAAATATCTCCCAGCAATATGGATTATTATTTATAAGTGTATGATGATCGTAACGCTTACTCGGTATTCAAGCACAATATTATGAAACTGGCTGTACGTCGAGAAGCAAAAGAAAATGTAAATAATGTTTATAGACAGTTCTATGCTGCGCCGCCAGTCTTCTCTTAGAACTCGAGCTAATGCACTTAATAACGATTCTGTACCAAAAAAAAAAAAAGAATTCTATTATATTATTGGTGATATTAGAATAGATGTTAATTAACAGATATTTGAGCGATAACATTGTATATATTTTTAGTGTAATTATTTTTGTCGTAATAATTGCAATTATTACTCCAAATTAGTGTGTAAATAAAAAATATGTAACAATTATAGAACATATAACAAATTACCATTTTTTGTTAATTCTAATAGATTATCAGGTACTCTCGCTAATTGCAAAATTAACGATGAACCTTTAATCTTGCCCGGTATTTCCTCGTATAATAATTCAATGTAATTGTCAACATTGCTTATAACTGCACGTTCAATCTCGCTGTTTTCTGTGGTTACTGAATTTGATGATACTGGTCTTGGTGGTTGAGAATTACTATCGTTACCTATAAAATTCCAAAATTTAAGATACAAGCAAAAATATCTCTAGGACACACATAAATTACATTACCTCTGGTATCATTGGTCCTACGATTTTGTAAATAATAAATTAACTGCTCGACTTCGTGTAACTTGGATTCATGTATTAATGAACACTTCTCTATTACTTCTTTGGCCAAAAGAGAAACATTTGTATCTGCATTTAAACTTTTTAGTCTGATTATCTTTTGACACTCCTATGTTGTAGAATATGAAACAAATAATGTGAAAACCACAGTGTACCAAATCAAATAAATTGTTCAACATTTCTGTTCTTTTATATAAAAAAAAAAAAAATAAATAAATCTCACCTTACGGTCACCAAGCATGGGATCTCCTAGCTCACCTAAAATCAATGCTTCTACATCGTAATTCACTACTAGAGCTTTTTCCGTTGGATGAACATCCAGCGTTCCAGATCTTACTTTCCTAAATATTTTAATATCAAGAAAAACTTATTGAAAAAGCTGCTCTATTTACTAATTACGTTTTGCTATGCACAAAAATATATGTACGCTATGTTGAACACTTCGAACAAATCACGATGCTTTATACGAACAAAAATAATCATATGTGTTTGACAGATGACCGACATCGTTTTTGACAGATGCGGCGACCGTCCTCACCTTTTCAAAAATTTTGCTTCGTCCATTTTAACGCGTCACACCCTCGCTAATTAATCCGATTCTTTGGGAATAGAATGTTTTTTTTTTTATATTTACACTTTACGCACACGTATTCGCTTCTTCAATTTTTATCTGCAATTATTCTATCTCCATGGAGAAAAAGCTGTAGCGATCGAAAAAGTCCGTCGAGATTATATCGAAACAACTATAAACTGTGCTCAAGCCTTACTTACATGACTCTCGTGTCTAAAAACAGAGAGAAGACTGACAATAGGTCTGTTCTTTTTACCTGAACCGGCTGCACTAGTTCAGAGTTAATCTTTTTCACTCCACATTGGAAGAAGAAATCCTACATGAAAACTTGCCATTAAATCGCATATGGCGACTTCTTCAGCAATAATTTGAAAATGTGCGCAAACAAAAAGTTACGCGCAGTTTTTAGCGATTGTAATTCGAAATGCTCGAATTGACAATGGTCCACGTTCAGCAGACTGAGCAGATCAGTGATCGCTTGGTGATTCTTTAATATGATTGAATTTTGCCTTTAGATCTTCAATGGATCTAAGAAACCAATCATATTGAAGAATCACTAAGCGCTCACTGATCTGCTCAGTCTGCTGAACAAGGTCAATGTAAATGTCAAGTGTCAAAACAAATGTAAATTTTTCTACAATTCAGGTAACGAACAAAACGTTTAATGGCAATAATATATTATATTTGTGTTAATCACACTCGGATTTCTGTCAAAAAGATATCTTCTTTATATTTTCTTTATATCTTTTTTATATTTTCTTTTTTGTATTATTTTTCTCATTAAAAAACTATATTAATATATAAAATATATATTATAAAAATTAACGTATATTATATTTTGGAGAGTAAAAGTTACGCTTAGTCTCACAATCACTATATAATTGATTACTCTGCTGTACAATTTTTAATCTATTTTGTATTTTTCCAGTATTACATTTGCTGGATGTCAAATGCAAAATAAAAATGAGCACACGAGTGTTAAATGACATTCATAATGACTTGAAACAACTTATAACAGCAATCACATCATTTGAGGTAAATATTGAAATAGGTTAAAATGTTTGGCATGTAACAACAGACATGGAATTCTATTAAACACACAGTCTTGTGTTGTTTTTTTTTTTTTTTTTTTTTTTTTAGGAGGATGAAGAAGGGTTTCGGGTATGCGAGCGAGTTTGCTCGACGAATATCAAACATCATCGCTATCTTTCTATTGACAGTCATGCAACTAAAGAAGCTATAAACGCACTGGTCACCAAATTTACAATTCATGGAAAGTATGAATTAGCTAAAAAATTTCAGGAACTAGTCGACACCTTTCTGTCAAGTTTTGACTTTGAGCAACATCCACAGTACGACTTGCAGTGGTATTTGTTAACACTCCTGTTAGATCTGTCCACTGAAACTCACAAGTCAAATCTAGATAGTTTGCAACTCACCTGTGGAGAATACAGTTTTAATGGAGCTGCTGGAAATGAAGACAGCATTACAGAAGAGATAGACTGGGCGCAATATTTGAGAGAGGGCCAGGAGAATTTTTTCTGTGATTATAAAAGTGATAATAGTGAAAGTGTAAATATTTGCGTGAAGGATTATATATCTCACAAACTTAACATTCAAGAAAACTAAGGATGTTTTAAACTTTTTTGTGTTTATAGGAATGGTCTGATGCAACAGAAGAAGAGGGAATTGATGAAAATGATGTTTCTTCACCATCGCAAAAACCCACTTCACATTTGGATGTAGCGCAACTTTCAGAAAGTCATGACAATACGGCGGATAAATTCTCTCTAGCATTGGCGCAGAATCTCGAATCTACAAAGTGGCTTTCTTTAAATGTTCAAAATGATTGGTGGAATAATCTACAATATCAAAAGTATCCAGTTGTCAAACCATCTTGCGATGCCAGTATTTGCGATATTTGGTAATATCTTTTTTTAAAAATTAAATTGTTTGATATAAGACACGATATTAAACAAACGTATGCTTTTGTAGGCACAAAATAAGCTCGTCAGATTTTAGCCACAGAGTGGCTACTCTCAGTGAGTATCAAGTATGCAGAGAATTGTTATGGATGTTTTATGTTCAAGCAACAATGGTAGTGTTTCAACAGGAGAGCGAATCGAAATTTTCAATACGTTCCGACATATCTATACCTAGTTTGACAACTGTATGTAACTTTATCTGTCTCTCTTGTACAAAATTATGTCTCAGATGTTTTTCTATTTGAATGTTATTTTTCCAGACTGCTTTTCAAAGTATTCTATCACCATTCTGCGAATGTTTCTCGATGATAAACGAGATCGAAAGATTTGGAACTGATTTGCAATCTGCTTGTTATCACGAATCAGAACTCCGAACTCCTCCTCTGACCTATGAAGCGTACAATGCTGCTCTTAAACGCCACTTGTACGAAATTAAGAATGAAGTGATTAAACTAGAAAAGAATATAATGGAACAAGGTGAGCTGCGTTTTTCTTTTTTTTTTTTTTTGCTAAATCTCATTGCTAAGTGTTGCTTCTATTTCGCAGAGACCTGCAATACCTTCCTGTCTTTATCAGATAGTTTAAGACCATATATTATTACTATAAAACTACTTTATAATATACATAAGAAAGTTGTAATGGATTGGAAAGTTATTTCTAATTGGAAGTGCGCATCCCGACTGTTATCGTCGTTATATTACGAAATGCAGAATTCTCATAGTCTAGAAAGAACTAATATCTGTACAAACTTGTACCTGTGTAGTCTTACTGTTTATCTTAATATAATTGATACGTGGCTAAGCGAAGGAAGATTAGAAGATTGGAGAGATGAGTTTATAATAGTAAGGTAAATTATAAACGTACACAAGTGTAAAAAATTTAAAATTAATATTAAAATTTGCATATATTTGATAACATCGCAGACTAATAATATGTATTAAACAGAGTTTCAGACGATGCTTTTGTGGAAAATACTGAACAAAATAAAAAATTTATAGTTCGTTCGTCTGATGATGATGTTTGCTTGACTGATCCAATTATGCAATTCTTATTGCAAAAAGTGCAACACATAGGTCACAGTATCGACTTGCTTGTTTCTTTAGATCGAATGATTGATATATGGAAAACGGAAATAGACGGTAATAATGTCTTTTTATAACAAATATCTATGTACATTATTCTTTTTTATGTTATATAAACTTATATATACACATTTCTCTTATGACTTTTAGACGTCAGGATATCGTTAAATACCGAACTGCACAATAAATTACTGTCAGAAATATCTAAGTATAATCCGTCAGAAGAAACAGATACATCTGAGTTGCAAATAATAATACATGATCAAATAACATTACAAGAATATGATGACGAAGTTGAAAAAAATATAATACAACAATTATTTACCTTGCACAATCCGTTTCTCATGAAAGCTATGGAAGATTACCTGCCACTTGAATTATATACGAACGATACGATGGATGCTCCTATGTATAATAACGCCACCAATTCCACGACAAAGCGAAATCGAATGCATGACTTGTACAAAAAGTACAAAACTTATTCACACAAAATATAAACAATTGGAAATAACTTACATACAACTCTTTAAAATACATGTATTTTCTTTTAGACTTCAAGAAATGAAGTACATCTTGCCGTTGCAAAACATTTTGAAAAATACCTTATCTGAAATTTTAAGTTTACGTTACAGTAGCGCTAGCAAGTTAGTAAAAAATATCATGGTCGAGGAATACAAGTTGCAAACACATCTGAAGCTTTTGAGATCTGTTTATATGATGGAAGCTGGACATGTTATGAATAAATTTTATCAAATTTTGTTTTACGAGGTAAATAAACAAAATCGAAATTTTATATTTGCAAGCACAATAATTGATATATAACATATTGTTTTAACAACAAACACAGTTTTGTTGTGTATAAACCAGTACGTTATTATTCTAGATCGAAAATAATCAAATGTGGGCTAATTCATATTTCCTGTCCTGTATTCTTGAAGAAGTGTTTTCTCAATATTGGCCAGATATAAGTTCACGCTGGTCCATCACTGTTCAAAACATCGTCACTACTCGTCAATTGTCGCAAGCTGTGAATAGTATAACATTGCATTACACAGTAGAATGGCCCATAAGCATAATGTTAACAAAGAAAGTTCTGGAAAAATACAATGAAATTTTTAGATTTCAGTTGAAACTAAAGTGGGCTTTATGGACGTTAAATAACTTGAGATTTTGCGGTAAATTAAAATTTTATATAATTTTATTCATATATAATTCATATATAATTTCTTTTTTCTCTTGAGATATATCTATAAAATATTATTGCGTTATTGTTTTCCTCCAGATTTGGAAGGTCCTAGATCGTTTTGTATAAAAGACACAGTGGAACAGTTTTATATAAGACGCCTCGAAAGCATACGGTTTTGGTTGCTACATGCAATAGGATCTATACACACGTACTTATCTGGTCAAGTATTACAGAGTCTAGGTTTTATATTGGAACAAGTCTTAGCTCAAGCGGATAGTCTTGATACAATTATATCAGGTGATATAACAATTTATGACAATTTATCTTAATCAGAGTGGAATTATGGCCGCTCGTGTGCGATTATAAAATATCAAGTTTAAAAAAAAAAAAAAGATGTGTTAAATAAAACAGTTCCAGTAAATTTTAACAAATTCCGTATTTTACAGTGCACAATGAGTACTTGAACAAAGTGCACGAACACTGTTTATTAACAGAAGAGTTCGAGGACTTGATGGCGACCATAAATAATGTACGTGGATACGTAAAGCAATTAAACAAGAAAAGAATATTAGATGACTAGAAAATTTACATTTATATGTTTCAGATGATCGAAATGTGTACTCACATACGAGATAGATGGTCACGAAAAAAATTATTATTGGCTACCGCAGAATTGGATATAATGGAGCAGAGTTACATTAAATATCATACGTATCTTGCTTTAGCTTTACACAATGCAGTACAACATAAGGACGCGGATTATTGTAAGTTTCAGAATTTACTAGCAATACTCAATATAATTCAACACAATTGTCCACAATTTACGATTATTAATGAGAAACAGAACAATGATGAAAAACAATTAAACAGTGTCCGTTAAAATTTAAAAACAGGAAATAATGTAATGTTTGATTATCTTCTTAAATAATATAACAATGAGACATATTTTAATTCATTATAATATATACATATATATTTTTATTGATAATCTTTCAATCCTAGATTTAATATACGTGTGCATTAAATATATATATTTCTCGAAACATATTAATAGTTTACTAACTACTGTCATGTCAAAGAATGAATCATTGCATGATAATTAACAATATCACTCTTGATAATGGTCTTTTCATTGCTTTATTTACAGTGACTGGCTTAAGTTCAGCGTTTAACTGCGGTTTGCCGTGTGCTTAAATTTGATATTACTAGAATGTTTATTCATGCACAGATTTAACAGTATTACTGGTGTGATCCTCTCATTTAGAATTAACGATACTCAATTTTATTTTATTTGTGTGCCAAGTTTTTATATATATATATATTGCTTTATATTAGAATTTCATACATTCAGTGTTAGAGCTTTGTTTTAGAGATCAGTATATATATATATATATATATATATATATTTTTTTTTCTCATGATTAATATCTATTAATTATAAGTTTTTGTACTAATTAATTATTTAGATGCGAGTTTTTACATACATAAAAATCTTTAATATTTATATGTATGTATATTTTTGTAATGTATTTAAAATCAATTTTTGTACATGCAGCGCAAATATGTTAATTTTTCGAATAAAAGAGTCAAGCACACGTATCTGACTCACTTTTTTAAATCACGTGACGTAAAATCCATATCCAATGTTTTAACTCCTAATATCCTATCTCTTCCATCCATTCCCTTCTAGATAAGTTGATGCCAAGTTTTATATCTAGAAGTAATAATAAACTGTTGGAAGACAATGATAAATTCGTTAAATTCGTCACTGATCTTAGTCGAAACTTATTGACCGAAATTGCACATCAGAGTTTACCACCGTCAGGTATCCCCTTGTCGATTCCAAGATTAATTTCTGGAAAGTCTTGGCAAACGAGGTAAAAGCTTATATGACTCACGTATATTGTGTATATTCGCGTGTATATATAAAGTGAATTGTACAACTGGTTTTAGTTCAGGATCATTGTTGCCCCTTGAAATTTCTCTAAACGAATATGAACAAACCTTTTCCTACATTCGTTGGCATAAATACAAGGAACAATTAATTCTCAGTTCATCACCTTACGTTTTGCACAATGAGATAAAGCGCGTCGCCGATTTCACAAAGTAGTAAGTTAAACATCACGAATATAAAAACAAATTACAGTATAAAAATATTTAACAAATTCGGTAATAAATTACACACAGTGTACCTCTGAAGAATAAAGTAGAATGTATGTGATATTATTGAAAAACAATATATAAGATATACAAATAGTAATATACACATATATATATATATATATATATTATCTCTTCCATTGTGAGATATATATACACGGAAAGCGATAATTGGTGTAACATACAGTATATTTACATTTTCTATTTAACAAAAAGTATTAATTATAAAACTTTTCATTACATGAGCAATTTAAGATTCGATAAAAATATAGAGTTACAATTTTGCGTAATGCGTCGCCACACGTAACACGTTACGATAACTTATTAAATTACTATTCTTGGTATGAAAAATATTTTTTTTTCGCGCATTTAATAATATATATTACAAAAAAGTAATAGTGTAAATGTGTGTATCGGAGAAACATATTTATAGATAAAAAAAAAAAAAAAGAAATTTCAAATAATAATAAGAAATTTCAAGTAATAGTACAATTAAGAATAAATCTTGTATTATAATTATGACACATACTATATATAACTGTAAGAATTAACTCTGCGCAATTACGACGGTACCGTTTTGTCCAATAGTTCCACTCTGCGAGACTGTCGCGTTGTTCGGTGTTTCATTTGTGCTAACGGGAGATGATGAATGATTGTTCGCACTTGTCGCGGCTAATGCTTTGTTTCTTACTTCAAATACTTGCTGTATTGCCTTGCGAAAACAAAGAAAGTTATAGTCAATCACTCCTGTAAATAAAAAAAAAAGAAACGATTTATGTGATATTATTACATGTCATGTGAGAGCTTTGTTCTCTTTGAAGAAATAAGATCAAACTTTATACGTTTACCTTGTCTATCGAAGTTATCCTCTCGTAAGATGCAGACCAATGCTAAAAACTTGTTCACTTCACGCAAATACAAGATTGTGCCATTATTTAATTTGATTAAACTGGAACTTTGGTTGTCGAACGCGGCAGCTTCCAAATCTTCTCTCAATCTGAAACAAGTTTTAAGCGTAAAAAGAATGCAGTTGCAAGCAAACTGCAAAGTTACACACACGTGTATACAATTAAAATATAAATTTTTATACCCATATATGCAGGAAACATCAATAACAACATCGATCATATCACAACATAGTTCATAACTCTGCATATCGACAGGCGAGCTGTCAGTCGCAATATAGATTTTTGAGACAACATCGAATAAAAATGCTTTCTCAATCCCGGAGTTCTGTGGATGTAATTACATTCTTTAAAACACTAGAATGTTTATTGTCATTAAGTAAATCCATTGTAAGAGAAGAACATTTCTTTGTATGTTAGCGCGTTCTTACAAAATATTTAATTGTGTAGCAAAAATAAGTTTTTTTACCGATATGAGTATATTGAGTAAATTTTCTAAAGTAGGCAACTGTGGTATCAGCTTCTGTACCACTTTACTAAATGCTTCGAATATACTGTGATCATATATTGAGGTCAAATGAAAACTCAAGTGTATTTGATCACATCCTGAAAAAAAAGATAGATATGAGAATGCTGGATTTTTTTCATAACTATATTACAACACAGAACTGTCTTTTAAATTTACCAGAGTCAGCTAAGTCATCATTGGCTCTTGTATGTATATCTCTCTGTGTTTCCATTTTACAGTCATCCGACAGTCCATCCACCTTATGAATAAAAACTTCAAATTTAATTGCCTGATTAACTTTATAAGCTTTCGTAACTGTTACATGAAGCTTATTAAGCGCTTCCATGTAATCATCCTGCGCATCTATCACAAAAACCAATGCTCCACAACCACCAAATATCATATCACTGTCAAAAGTGGGGTCAAAGAAATCAATTTGACCAGGAAAGTCCCATATTTGAAATTGCACAAAGCTCGAGTTACTAATGTCATCTTTAATTATTTTGTTTGTACTTTCTAAAAATAGAGTCTCGTTTGGTGACATCTTATGGAAAACCACTTTCTGTATTGAAGATTTGCCACTGCTACAGAAGAAAATATAGATATTAAATTATATAAATTATATAAAAAAAAGTATTTTAATGAAAAACAAATTTGTTGAATATCAAATTATAACTCTACCGTCTAAGACCCATTAGAAGTATTCTAGGCTTCTGTTCTCCAGCTAATGGATCCATAGATCCTTCCGTTTCTCCATCAAATGGTGCATAACCAAAATCTTTTGGGAAAGAACCACTTTGATAATGATCATCATAACCACTTTGATAATGTTCATCATCATCCTACAATAACAATAAAGGAATATTATTATAAAAACAGAAACAGGTGTATGTACATTATTTCACACTGAACTCTAACTTTCAACAAAGAGAAATATAAATATTTGGGATTTAACATAGGAAAGATACATAGAAAGCAGAAAGATAGGAAAGACTAAATATACAATACATATATCAGATATACTTACAGCTACAGAGCAAAAAAAAAAAGAATTTTAATAAATATAATAAATAATAATCCTCAACAAATTGCTCAATTAAAATCACAACATTAATCACACGTTTAAAAAAATGTAATAAATAATTTTAATCTGTTTTGTGACAGATATTTATATCCAAATTAATAAAAAATATCTGATAGAGATAAGTGGCACTTCATATTTCTTTATGTTGACAATTAATCACCGTCACATTTCTCTAACAAAACTATTAAAACCAAAAAAAAAAATATTCAATAAAGTATCACTCACCATGTTTGTTAGGTTAAATAATTTTTGTGACGAGATTCTGACAGTTCTTCTGTACAGTTATGAACTTAAGAAAAGTTGTTGTTGTTTTTTTCCTACAATAATATTCCTCTAGTCGCGATCGCACATAATGGAAAGTTGCATAGGCTACACGTCGAATATAATATCTTTGTTTATGGTACGAGGAAAGGGAGTGTGATGAGATAGTCGCATATATACAGTGTGCTCTTTTGATATAGCATATATCAATCGGTGTTCCAATTGGTTCCCGCAAGTGAATCAGTTTGCTGTCATTTCTCATACATTACGTATATAAAGGTACATAGTACATGAGTAATGTTAAAACAAAATTTTTATCTTTTTACAGAATTTGTGCAAGCTACTTCTCGCTACTGTATCAAATATTGGATATGAAAAATTATTTTTCATTGTCAGTGAACTCAATAGAGTGAGTAAAGCCATTTAACAAATTGTTAAAAGTCTTGGTTCACTTCTTTCTTGAAACTTTTTCAGAAATTTGTGCAAAAATTTTTCGTATCCAAGTTAGGAAAAGTTCTGAAATAAAATAAATTTATTTATTATTTGAAGTTGTTTTAGAAATGAAATAAGAACCTAACTGCGAGTTTATTTTTAAGATTTTAAAATTATTCTCCATTTTAACTACATAACACATGAAAATCAAAGTTTTCTTACTTTTTCTATTCTCACAACGTTTCGCCGTGTAATCGAGATTAACAGCGCCTCCGTCGCCTAAGATATTGGGTTTTTTTTTAAATAAACAAAGACGGACTTTATGACAAAATATAAATTTGCATAAAAAATAGGAGTAAATCATATGCAAAATTTTTTATAATGCGTTCTCCTTACCTTATAATATATATATATATATATATATTCGATAAATGTATGTGCGATTATCATCACTTTTTTATAAATGTATATGTACATAATTTAAAAAGTTTGCGAAGAGTTTATTGGACAATAATTACAAGCAGTAAAATCATCATGTGTTGATTTGCAAACGATATAATTTATCTTTGGTAATTATAATTAAATATTTATTCGTAGCAACGACTCCCATAATGGCAGTTTCACAATTCAAGTCTACAATCCTTTGTTTTGCAATCTGTTCTCCGACATCAGGTTTATCATAAAGAAATATATGCCTTGTATGTTCCACTATAGCTATGTACGAACCATCTACAAAGTGAAACGAGCATATGTATTCTTTTCTTAATAATTATTTTCTTTTTTGGCGAGCAAAATATTTTTTTAATATCTTACCAGACGGAGAAACGCAAAACTTTTTATTGGTTTTGCTCGCTTCGACGTAGCCGAATCCGGGAAAGCTGTAAGCATGTCTTACGTCCCATTGATTTTCATCATCCACAGTATCTATTGCCCAAACACAAGCATCGTGATCATGTCTCAGACATACTGCTTGTCCACGTTTTCTTTTATACGTGAACAACATGTGATTATTGCTTCCCAATCTAGCTAGATGTGTGGTTGTTTGTTTCAGAAGATCAATTCTTTGTAAAAAGTTGTCTTTTCCCTCAAGATCGCATTCTTCTAATTGTTCAGCATTGAATCCCACACAAGGTTGACCTTCTCTGACATCGTTTTGCTGATTCGAACACAAGTGTGCTAGTCTAAACATTGATATTGTATATTTTTATATACAACTATTTACACAACCATATTTTTATTTTGAATAAAGAACTTAGCAGGTGATATGTGTATGTAAATGTGTATATATATATATATACATAAATAATATTAATTTCAATAATACTTGTGAATAATTACACGATCTAAACACTAAACTAAATTGTAGAAAAATAAGAATTACACAATTTAAACAAAAAAATACCTTTCATGAATTTCTGCAGCAAGAGTTTCATTGGGTAAACATTCACCTCCCGTATCATTCTTGATCAATTCACTCCACATTAAACCATTTTCATATTTACTCAGATCAATTTGTAATGTATCCTCTTTCTGCCTCCAGGTTGCCATGTTTTCCTCCAATCTATGCTGACATTCTCCTTGAATCAATACTTCATTATCTATCACAACAGACAGTTCTAAAGGCTTGACATTTATTTTAGGTTGTTTATTGCTGTGTTGTTTCGGTACTTTAACCCAAACAGTTAGCGTATCTTCATCTTGAGACCAATAATATTTTGGAATCTTTATTTGAGTATCAAAACTCGGTTGTTCCACTTTGAAATCTTGTGAATTTTTCTTTTCAAAATCGATGTTATCTTGACAAATAGCATGCAAATAGTTACCATTTTCTTCCACACAAACATAATCTACAGTGCCACATACTTTTGATATCTGTTTGTCTATAAAAGAAATTTCTGTTATTTCATTTTCTGAATATTGCAAAGCATAAGACAGCACCGCAAGCTGTGTATATTTCTTTTGGTCATTATCTGCAACAATACTACACATGGTTATAATAACTTTTGAATTTTCTTCTACATATTGCACATTCATAATAACTCCAGGTTCTATAGAATTCAGTGTGAAGACCTTCATATTGTGCTTGGTATCCATTGTTAGAAGGTCCAATGTTTTACCACCATCAAAAATAGCCATAATATTATTGGAAGTAAATGCAATTGATGGGTTGTATATTTTTAACAAGTCAGCATCTGTTGTGTTTAGTTTATGCATTTCACTTAATGAACCATCTTTATCCAAACACCAAACAGTCAGCTTCTCATCAATAAACCAACATGATGTGTCATAAGGATTTTTAAATAAATGATTATGAAATGCAAAAAGTCTAGCTTCAAGCCAAGATTCTTGATTTTGATTCGGCTCTAATCTATATACATCTGAAATGTGTGAATGAAATAAATAAAATCTATTTTTTTTTACTAAAACATATATACAGCTATACCATTTGTTTAAGAATTAAGAATTACAATGATACTTGAACTAAAAATTACTACGAAACTTTATTAAATGTGAACTAAACTTACGATTTCTTAGCTTGATTTCAGAAATGATAGAAACAATATCGTTGGAAAATTGATACTTTTCAAAAGAGGAATTCATCAAATGTTTATTGGGACGTAATTCGATTATTTCAGGCATTGTTTTTATTTTGTTCGTGTTCGCGATATAAATATTGGGATGTATTATTTTTGTTAAATATATAATTCACTTATATATATATATATATCTTTTATTATATTTCCCATATATTGCTTTTAAAATAATATAAGAGTTTAACGTAAAAACCCTTTAAAACTGACACTATTCCTGAGAACTTAACCTCAGAAAAACTTCCCGACACCAGAAATTATTGACCAAAAATTTGTACACATCGAAAATGTATAAAGCCTGTTTTACATTAAGCACAAGATTATGCAAACGCAAGTATACATTCAAGTACATGACAAATCAGTGTGATTGGTCAATTCCGCCAAAACCAGTTAACTGCGTTTGCGTCTTGCGACGCTAACGTAAAACAATCTTAATGTAAACTATGTATAGACTTTTAATACTGGAAGTGAATTTTGAAACACGAAGTTTGTGATACTAGCACATCACAGACGCGCGCTACGCGCACGCTATTATTTTTATTTTAACATATTCCGTCAGTAGACACAACGTGTCACCGCGATGACAGCTAGTACACGTACGACAGTATGACATGACCAAGGTAGCGCGGCCGAGGTCAGTGACCCCGCCAAGGCCGCACGGCCGAGGTCAGTGACCCCGCCAAGGCCGCGCGGCCCAGGTCAGTGACCCTCCTCCCCACCAAGGCCGCGCGGCCGAGGTCAATGACCCCGTCAAGGCCGCGCGGCCGAGGTCAGTGACCCCGCCAAGGCCGCACGGCCGAGGTCAGTGACCCCGCCAAGGCCGCGCGGCCGAGGTCAATGACCCCGCCAAAGTCGCGCGGCGGAGGTCAGTGACATTACTGTAGTATGTATATAATACATATAATACAATATAAAGTATAATATTATAAATATATAATAAATTATATGTATAATATATATTATTTAATGTTATATATAATATAAATTACAGTCACGTTATTTTCACGAGTTGTTTTTCTACTCTTTCCTGTCACGTGACTTTAGTTACGTTTTTAATTTTCTCTATATATACGACAACCTGTCTCAAAATCGCTTTTCATTATTTATTCTCTCGATCTTACCGATTCGATTCGACTCGATCAACCAACCAACCAATCAGCAACGGAAAAGAGGCAACAATAGATGCGATACATTCGGATCCAAAACGCGCACTTCGCGAAACACATGGATTTTTTTTATATAGGATAGAATGAGCGATTAATGGATAAAAAAAGCCATTTATACGAGTACTTTTTAAGTATATTTGCTACTAATCGCAAATTTTCTATTAAATCAAATATAAATAAATATACTATATGGCATGTATATTTTTCTGATTATTTTTTCAAATTTTGATTATTAAATAATTCGCAAACAAATAATATAAGAACTTACGATATAAGGCAGTGATTTGGTAAATGTATTTAAATGACAGTGTCTGTAAAAATAATTTAATAAATATCAGTGTACGACATATAAATTTACAATGTGTTACAAATGTATTCTTAGTAGTATATAAATAATATATAAATAGTAAAAGTATATAAAACACTATATAAATTAGTTACATATGAATTATTTATATAAATTATTATAGATATATGAATATATATATGTATATATATATACAATTACATGTTACATATTTACTTGAGCAGGAATATACATATAATTTTTGTATAAAAATAATTTAATAGTTTGTGAAAAAGATATTTACATCAAGATTTTTATATATTCTATATTTATATAGCAGTTTTATATATTCTTTCACATAAAAAATTAGATTTTGCTTTTACAAGAAAAATTCTCTATTAGTTTTTTAAATTTAAATTAGTTTTTTATAACTTTGTTGTTACTATATATATATATATAACTATCATACACAAAACTGTTAAGACTGTGACTGACGTTCGTCCTGATATTCACCTTTAGTACAAAAAATCTATAAAACATGTGACATAAAGTATAGATGCTTAGTACTAGCTGTCAATATCGGAACGCAGACTATGTAAAATCTTTGATAAACATTTGTTTACGTGTTTACTTCAATTGCTTAGACAGCAAACAATATCGTATGAAATTGAATTATTATTATATTTGTGAATTATTCTTATCCTTAGCTTGTATCTCTCTAATAAAGTGCGAATCTCAAGATGAAAAAATAGAAGACATACCATTCCAATTCATCCTTTTGTCGTTTTCCCAATACAAAACAATAATTTTTAATTAAAAATCACCTATTGCAATAATAATATTAGATAAAGCTTTTCTAGCATCATTTTCCGCAAACACGTTTAATACATCCATCGCTTTTTGTGAGTGTTCCTTTATGAGCTCTTTGGTCAATGCAATGCCTGGACCAGCTTGAATAATTTCGAGTATCTATATGTACAAAATTATTAATTACACACATATTGTTACTGTATAAAACAGAAGTCTAAAAACTAATTTAATCGTATATAAATTCCATTGCTTATTTATACCTGTAAATAGTCGATATTTTCTACTGATTCTAATCCTTTATTGAGCTCCGTTAAAATAGATGGGTCATTTTCAATATGAAACATGATTGGAGCAGCACATAAATTATACAAGATTTCTTTGTCGTTGTTAATACACAAAGATAAATCCAAGGAAGCCTGTAAACAATACATTTTACATTTTTATAATTATTATTGTCTTATAAAATTTATATTTGTATGAACTTAATATATCTTCTTAAATATATTACCTGCCAAGCTAGAGCTAAATGTTTGCCAAACTTGTAGCCTTCTTCCTGCAGTTCATTGCTATGTCCAGCTAGCTTCAATGTGCCTTGACAACTTTTTCCGAGTAACGACGCAGCGCCATAAACATTTAAAAATGTCCATTCTTTTAGCGCATAGCCTGTACGATCTTCGGGCGGTATTGATGGTATAGGAAAATTTTGATAGTCTCTGCGTGCTACAAATGCTGCCTGACATAAATCTCTTACTGCAGTTGACATTAAGAACACAAGCTACAAAACAAAACGTGTTTCTTTAATCAATGCATAAAATAAAAACCAAATTTGAAAAAATATAAATTTTTTTTTGTTATAAATATAATTAAAGAATTCTACACAGCATTAAAGATATTCTATACAGTATCTATGAGCAAAACAAATTAACAATTACACATTGTACTTACATCTTGATTTCTAAGAGTTGCTAATTGAACACAACTATTGCAAAGCAAGTAATCACCAAACAACAATGCTATTTTATTTCCAAAAAGCACATCTTTCATTTCTGATTCCAAGGACATATTTTTATTTATATTTACTAGTCCTCTGTGTATCAAATTGCTAGTTCGTATCATTTCTGTAACTTCAGCTAAAGCTCTTTGGCTAAAACATAATTTTTAAAAAGTTTATTTTATATATATATGTATAATTTCTTTACTTTGTATAATCATAACAATAGTAATATATTCTCTGTTATAAGTAAACAAATCTAAAAGGTAATATCATATATATTTTATATTTTAACAATATAAACAAGAGAGTTTCAAATTATTATGTATAATACCTGTTTAATACACCAGCAATTTTTTCTTCTTCTGCTGGGTCTGCATTCAAGTGTCCAGCAGCCTTAGAGATTAACAGTACAATTAGTCCAAATGCCTGTGCATTACGTCCAGTATAAATAATATTTCTGTTACAACAGAACTTAGTCAGTTTTCACCTTTCTTTGCCATTAAATTAAAGCATTTGAAATCTCAAAAAACAAAAACCAAAAAAAAAAAACATCTAAAATCTGTATTCATAAGCAAATATTACTTATGATGACATTTACTTAGCTGTTTTCAACAAAGGATGATTTGATCCAATTAATTTTCTCAAGTGCACTGCAACATTTGTAAGTTCATCACTCAATAACCATCTTAGATTTAAAAAAGAAGTTGGATATCCAACAATCTTCTCTGCTTCTGACATAGTTTTATTCCAATCTGTTTTCTGATTCACTAATGACTTAGTTTCAGCTTGAGTAAGTTCACTAAAGTGAAATCTATTTTGTGTGAAGATACAGACTGTTCTCTGAATTTTGAAACCTCTGAGAGAGTTTGACAGAAATGTGGAATTACTTTTTCTCAAAATTTGAGATATAGTTATATTTAAAGACATTGTTTTCTTCTTTTTTCAAAAAATACTGTTGATATATATTCTGAAAAAAAAATACAACTTTATCATTAACATCTACTAAGTTTAAGTAATCTGAAGATGTTATAATATAAACTTGACTTGATGTTTATACTGATTAGAAATTAGTAATCTGAACAAATATTTATATAAAGTATAAAAGAATACAGATATATAAGTCAAACAATGTGGAAACAAAGGTTTGGTTTGGTGCATATATGGCTCAAAGGACCGATTCAAGTTAGTCCATACGCCAAATGTGGAAACAAAGTTTTTTCTGTATAGTGAAACATCTACAGTAGAACATCCCAAAACGTAATACAGAATGCGCGTCAAATTGAAAAGTGTCGACCTCTGTCGTCATTTACCTCATTATTTTTAACATGTCATGATATCAATTTGCTAGCATACCAACGCGTGGCGTTACTGAACAACACTGTACCAATATATTGTTCACATGACATGCTTTCACGGCGTGCTGACACGTGATGTTTGCTTGGTACGTTTTGGGAAGTTCTACTGTATCTTCCTCCAAAAGTTTATTATCTATGAGCCAAGCGAAGCAAAGACAAGATATGTTTATCTTATCTTATGTTTCTTAAACATGTATTACAGAGTAAAACAGCCAACGACACTGTCAATTTAATCATAAACAAAAATATTAACTAGAAAACAATCAGTTGCGTCATTGGAGAGACCTATCCTTTTAACCTTGATGCAAAAACTATTGGAATACGTGTATACAATATCACTATTGCAAAATAATCCGAAAGTTCGAGGAATGCAGAAATGTCAAATAAATTTTATGTCGAATTTAAACTCAACACGGAACCAGCTGGAATACGACGCGTCGCGAGTCGCACTTGACCGTATCACAAAGAATCAACCGATAAAAATTAAACGAAGTCGAAGTTTGACAAGCGCACAGTGTGTTAAATGTAGAATAAAAATAATACCTGATGTTTTTTTTAAATTACAACATTGTATGCGGAACAACCAACTTGTGTGTGAATTGAGAGAACGCCGAGAAACTACATGCCTAGACAATTAAACTTGGGAGTCAAATATGTACACTAGTGGGAGAGCCGTCAGAACTTTCTCTTCTGACCTAACTTTCCAAAATTTCTCACGCAAAATAAGAGGGGAGAGACATGCCTAATATAATATTCCAAAATTATACGCGAGATGAAACATTTGTTTATATCAAAAGAGCGATTAATTATGAACAGATTAACTAGAAATTCAAAAATTCACAGGGTGAGGGAATCATCGGGATTACATCACACGTGTTTGTCAACAGATCTGTTGATATTATTATACAAATTTAGAACAAATAGGAAGATCCGAGCAGGATTAGTTATTTACACATAAATCTGTCTGAAATAGATTTACTGATTTTTAATCGGTTTTTCTTTTTTTTTTTTTTTTTTTTTTTTTTATAAAAATAGACTACCCGGCATTCGATTACAGGTGCCACTGTCCACAAAAAATACGACTTGCATGTTTTTGGCAAATAAAATTCATTTGTTTTTTTTATCGAAATACGCGCCTATATTACACTTTTACCAGAATTCTTGACTGACAGGAAATC